CTGCGACTCGCCCCTTCCGTGCGTTCTCCTATCGCCAATATCATTCTACTCAGCGCGTTGCCGAGAACATTGCGTTTTTCTTCAGGGCATTCGTCGCCCTGCACATAGCTGCTGAGTTGTTAACTTAGTTGTGAACTTCATTCTTGGTGGTTCTCGAGTTCTCTCGGCACCCCTGCAGCTACACAAGCGTCTTCAAACGGCCCATACCGCCGGCAATGAGGGCAAACGCGTGTAAAACGAAGACAAACGAGTCTGTATTCTGAGCAGGTGCCCACAGGACCAAACTCGCACCCATGTGGACGGGTCAACAGCCACACTCAGCGACAGGACCGAGGAAGACGCAGACCATCTCAGCGCGCCGCGGCCACGGGCGGGTCCACCCGCGGGCCGACCAGCGCGGCAACACACACCGCTGGCGGCTGCCGTGCGGGCGCCGTCTCCGGTCTCCGAGTGGCGGTCACCGCGCTGGTGCGGCACGGACCGGGCTCCGCGCGCGTGCGCCGCGCCAGCGCAAATGATCGACCGATGGCGAGGCACGCCCGCCCACTAACCGTCTACAGAGGCATCACTAAAGCTATGTGCAGTGGGCCACTCGGAGCTCCGCGCCACCGCTCCGCTCGTAACCATGTCTACTCGGCCGCACGCGCCGCCCGTCCGCCCCCATTGTTGGGGCACGCCGCGCCGTCGTCGGCCACCCGCTCGGCGTCCAGGCTAGCCGCCTGTCGAACGGTCCACCTCCCGCCCACTCGACTTGGGTCCGGTCCCGTCCGGTCAGCGCCGGCGGCCGGCCGGTCACGCGGCAGCGTCGCGGGTCAGGGCGCCGCTGGCGCCGCCTAGTTGCCGCTCCGCAGACTGCGACGGCCCGACGGCGGGGAGGAGGTCCGCTTGGCCGGCGGCGGCGCGCTGTCGGCACGCAGCCACCAGCGTGAGGCACGGCGACGTGTGGGAGAAGCATGGAAACACTAACCAACTAGCAGCACACTGCACACAGCGGTCTGTATCACCATCTCCCACTGAGAGACGCTATCAGGGGGGCCGACTGAGACGGCGGAGGGACGGCGGCGCGCTGCGGGAAGATTGCATCACGCGACAGGCAACAAGATAACGCACAGAGGCGGCGCACGGGCTGGTGACACGCTGGAGGACGCACAGGTCCGGCAGCAACAGACAGGACGGCGTCCGCGGGCTAGAACGAGTGCAGCACTTCAGCTTCACCGGTGGAGACGCAGTACAGGCTACCGAGATGGCATATTTACATGTTCAGATCACATGTTTACATGCTCAGACCACACATGCACATGATCCGATCACAAATCGATACAATCAGATCACATATGGACATCACCAGGTCACATAGTCACATGATCAGATCGCATATTCACATGCTCAGGTTAGTTGCTCACATGACCAAATCACAGGCTTGCATGATCGAAGCACATGTTCGTCACATGTTCCGCGCGCGGCCTTTGACCCCGTGTGCGTCAAACGCTTCACCTACGGTCACCCGGTGGGACGGGCCGGCGAGGGGTCACCTGCTGTATTGAGGAGCGTAACCCGGCACCGGTACAGTTCTGCGCACCGACTGCTAATCGAGGGGAAAACAGGGCCGCGCGCGACCCTCTCCCAAACCCAACGCCCTCCCCCCAGCCTTGCAAACAGGCACGTCAAAGCAGCAATGTTGTCATTATCATCCCACTTTGGGACAGTTCCGGTGCACAACCTATTCAGACCTGTCCCCACCTGAGCCAGCAGAACATCCCCACCGTACCCAGACCAGCGGGCAGCCGGACCACAACAGATGACCTCGGTGACCCTCGCTCGCAATGACTTCACACTGTAACGTCATTGTGCCTGGCGACCGGGCGCTCACCTGGGCGTGTTAGCCGAGAGTTCGCTCAGCCGCGGCGACCGGCGCGCCGCCCGGCCGAGCGGCGAGCCGGACCGCTTCCCCGACCGCCGCGCCGCCGGCCGACGACCGCTAGACTCATGGTTCTCCGAGCCGCCATTAGATGGCTCTGCCGGCTGCGACGCTGGAAGCGCAGACGCGAGGTTCAGCGCGGCGCCGGCCGATCGGTGCCGTGCGACGTCACCGGTTGATGACGTCATTGGCAGTCGTGATGACGCCATTGGTCGTCGGGTGACGTGGCCCGTTACCGTCCAAGCTGACAACGTAGTGTAACTCCACACCAGGCTGTTTGTGACCAATGCGCCGTTGGCACCCCTGGGGCAACCCGCGACCCCGAAACACAGCGACACAAAGGGCGAACCTTAAACGGATGCTCCAAGCACACAGACGCCCGTCCACGCGCGCTCCGGTACCGCGCATCGAAACCTGTCAGCGTCCCATCACGCACCACGCCCGGAGACTCTGCCTGATCCCCAGCAGCGTCCCGCGGCGGTGGCGGCGGCACGTGGCCAGACCAGACCGTCGTCCCCGTTTGGGTCACCACTCACAGGGCATGGTGGTGGCGACACGCGCGGAGCGGCGGGGCGACGACCGCTTCTGCTCCCGGTCCCGGTCCAGGTCCTGGTCCTGGTCCTGATCCTGATCCCGGTCCTGGTCCCGGCCGCCTGCGCGCCGCTCGGCCTCCAACAGGCGGAGCTTGTAGGCGCGCGCCGCGCCCAGGTACTTGTCGCGCTGGCGCTGCAGCTGCTCAATCTGGCGCTGCTGGCGCTCGGCCAGGCCGCGCAGCTCCAGCGCCATCAGCTGCTGCACCACGCCGCCGGAGCTGGCGCCGGCCGCCGGCGGCTGCTCGCCGGCCGGCGCCAGCAGCTGGCCGGCGGCGGCCGTCTCGTCCAGCCGCTGGCGCACCAGCTGGCGCTGCTCGGCCTTCAGCGCCTCGGTCTCGGCGCGGCTGCGCTGCAGCTCCAGCTCCAGCGACTGCGACGGAAGCGGCGCCGAGTCACTACGGCAGCGACGGAAGCGGCGCCCGGTCGTTACGGCGGCACGGGGCCACGCGAGTGAAAAACGCCGAAAAAAACGATGCAAATTAAAGCCCGGGGAAGCCAGGTGTTTAATGCGTTCTCCAGCAGCGCCGAGTATAAAGTCCAAGCAAGCGCACGGCTTGTCCCGATAAACTCGGAAAGGTCAGTCGGCAGCTTGCCAAAAGGCAACCAGGCACGGGATGGCCGTGCTGCAGTACTCAGTAACACGCCAACCCCTCAGGCATAATGTTTCGAGGAAGGAGCCGAGGTAACCTTACACGAAGAACTGGACAGAACTACTCGCGCGATGGGTTCAGGAAAAAGGTGACGACCCTTGGCGATTTCCCTGAACTGGAAGTCATCCAAGCGAGTCTATTGGAATAAATTTACATAAAAACCAGGCGAGACATGAGCAGAGTTATATGCAGTCTTCATTTACAGCGTACAGCGGGCAGATTTACCACCCACGACACACAAACAGGGTGTACGCATCAACAATAACCAAATAACGTACACAACGTTCAGCACGAAATGCCAATAAATTCGGCGCCATCTCCATGGCGAAGAGCGGAGGAACGGGGGAGGGGGGGGGGGGGGCAGAATGGGGAGACAAGAGCGAAAAGCTACTGCTGATCGGTCGCCCTTCTCGTCGCGCCCGTGACAATCCCCGGCCACCGCGTGTGCGCGAGTCACCAGCGGCCCTCGCGGCTCGCGTCGCCGCCAGCTGGTCACCGTGCTCGGCCACGGACGGCCGGCGAGCCGCGCCAGTCCGTGACGCGGTGTTTCGGAGGAATATCTCGGCAGGAGTCGACCTGGATTCTGAGCCAACGGGCAGCGGTGTTGCGGCGAAACTGCAGAGACGTTACGGGGCTTCGGGGGGAGGGGGGGGGGGGGGAATAAAACAATGTGCGGTTCACAGGCTGTCCCGCAGGCGGTTACCAGCCGCTGGTTGGTAACCATGGCATCTGCCGTTATGAAGAATAAAGAGATAACTTAGGGCCCCGAGCAACACCATTACAGGGATACAAGCCCCCGACATATATATATATATATATATATATATATATATATATATATATATATATATATACCTAACCAAGCGAGTCTATCGGAATAATATATATATATATATATATATATATATATATATATATATATACATATATACGCACATAGGCTGAATGAGCATGGATACATCAGTGATGCCAGTGCAGACAGAGCCCCAGCGTGGGTTGCCGGCTTGGGCGGGTGTGAGCCCCTGGTGTCAGTGGCCGCGCCCTACCTCCACGCGGCGGCGGTGCGGCAGGTCTCGGGTGGTCAGGCGGCGCTCGGCGTCCCGCTTGGCCTGCACCGCCTCCAGCAGCTGCGCCTTCAGCCGCGTCACGCTCTCGCGCTGCCGGTCCGACTCCGTCTCCCACTCGGGCGGCGGCGGCGGCGGCTGCGCCTCGCGCGCCTCCACCAGCTGCCGGATCTCCGTCTGCAGCTGCAGCACCTCCGCCTGGCGCGCCGCCAGCTGCTCCCGGGCCTGCACGCCGGCCACGGGTCAGGTGAGGTGAGGTGAGGTGAGGTGAGGTGAGGTGAGGTGAGGTGAGGCCAGGTCAGATCAGGTCGCGGCAGGACAGGGCAGCAGGCGTCCACACCCGGGGGAGCCATGCCGACAGCGCCGCACCGCGAGCGGAACACCATTATGAAACGATGTGTCGGAGACAAGCCGTGTGGTCGGATGGCGTAGATTACGGTTTTCACATTTGTCCGAAATTTTACGCTAACTTCACGTGATTACCAGAAAGCGCTCCGCCTAACCAAACCTAGTAGAAAATCCAAGTAAAGTCAAACAAGCTGTGACTTATCATTGCCAGAGTGATATAAGATTGTCATGATGAATAATCATCATAACCATGGCAAGTTACGAACGGGCGAGGCGTGTCAAAAAAAAGTCCACGCGTTTCCAATATGCATCCCCACCCTTCCCAGCAGCGTGCCGCTGTAGTCCCCAGGCGGTACGCTAGGGGAGGGCGCGGCCTCAGCGCCATTACGAGCTCGACCTCGTCACGGTCGCTGGCCCGTCAGAGCTCGCCACAAACCCGGCCAAGCTCGTCGCCGTGTTACTGGACTGTCGGGGCTCGTGAGAATGTTACTTCCAAGTTGGAGCTCGTGGAATCGCTGACTTGTTGGAGCCTGTGATAGGGGTAACTGACCTGTCGGAACCTGTGTGAATGGGCTACTGACTTGTCGGAGCAAGGGTTAAGCGGTCACTGACCTATCAGGGCCTGTGTTCAGCGGTCACTGACCTACCAGGGCCTATGTTAAGGGGTCACTGACCTGTCGGAGCTCGTCATCGCTCTCGTCGATGAGCGTGGTGAGCCAGTCGGCCTTCTGCTGGTAGTCAGCGAACAGCCTGAGCCGCTCGGCCTCCAGCTCGGCGACGGCCGCTTCGCGCTGGCCGGCCAGCAGCCGCTCGTGCTCCGAGGCCGCCGCCTCACGCTCGGCCGACAGTGATGCCACCTTCGCCTGGTGCTCGGTCTCCAGGGTCTCCAGCTTGGCCTGGTGCTCGGTCGCCAGCGTCTCCAGCTTGACCTGGTGCTCGGTCGCCAGCGCCTCCAGCTGGGCTTCCAGCTGGTCGCAGCGGGCGTCCGCCTGGCTCTGTCCTGAGGTCAGCTGGCTCTGAGAGGAGACAGCACGCGACGTCAGAGGAGTGCGCCAGTCAGGCGCGGCTGGAGACCTACCGCGGCCGCCCGGGTCCGCTGGCCACACGACAGCGAGCTCAAAGTGGCGTGACATCCCACACGTGGCGAAGTTCCGGCTGACCTGCAGCTGCTGCTGTTGCTCCTGTTTGACGCGCAGCTGGCGAACCTCTAGCTGCAGCTGCTCCACCTCGGTCTGTCGCGCGGCCAGCTGCTCCTTGGCCTGCCCGAAAAGGAGTAGCCTCATGGTCAAGCACGCTCGGCGGGCGCCGCCGCAGCAGCACGCGACTGCGCCAGTGACAGTTATACATCCGGACAGCACGGCACGGGTACGGAGACGGGGATGGAGACGGGGACGGGTAAGGGGATGGAGACGGGGATGGGGATAGGGACGAGGACGGGACGGGGACGGGAAGGGAATGGAGACGGGGACGGGACGGGGATGGAGACGGGGATGGGGATGGAGACGGGGACGGGAACGGGGACGGGGACGGGACGGGGATGGAGACGGGGCGGGGACGGGGATGGAGACGGGGACAGGGATGGAGATGGGGACGGGGATGGGGATGGGGATGGGGATGGGGATGGGGATGGGGATGGGGATGGGGATGGGGATGGGGATGGGGACGGGTGCGGGTACAGGTACGGGGACGGGGACGTTTTGACGATCAAACCAATGCTCGTTCCATAACCACGTTTAACCAGCACCTCGTGGCACAGCAAGGGTCGATACATCAGCATAGGAACTCTGAATACTTGATACCAACTCTTTCTTGGGGATGTGATGTAATGGCGTCATACCCATCACTGATGGGCGCTGCATGACCTTCAGCAGTCGATGCGCCCTAAAACCCCAAATCATCATCATCATCATCATACCCATCATTGTTCAAGAGAAGACCTCGAAATTCAGATCGCTTTACTGCTGCTGCCGCTTTACTGTTGCTGAGTTATCGAAGCTGTCGGGGCTCGTAATGAGAATCACTGACCTATCGGAGTCCATGCTTAAGGTCACTAACCTGTCGGAGTCCATGCTTAAGGTCACTAACCTGTTGGAGCCCGTTTTAACCTTTAACCTGTCGAAGCCGTGTTGTGGGTCACTCACCTGTCGGAGCCCGTGTTAAAAGGTCACTGACCTGTCAGGGTCTGTGTTAAGAGGTCACTGACCCGTCAGGGCCTGTGTTAAGGGGTCACTGACCTGTCAGGGCCCGTGTTAAGGGGTCACTGACCTGTCAGGGCCCGTGTTAAGGGGTCACTGACCTGTCAGGGCCTATGTTAAGGGGTCACTGACCTGTCGGAGCTCGTCATCGCTCTCGTCGATGAGCGTGGTGAGCCAGTCGGCCTTCTGCTGGTAGTCGGCGAACAGCCTGAGCCGCTCGGCCTCCAGCTCGGCGGCGGCCGCCTCGCGCTGGCCGGCCAGCAGCCGCTCGTGCTCCGAGGCCGCCGCCTCCCGCTCGACCGACAGTGATGCCACCTTCGCCTGGTGCTCGGTCTCCAGGGTCTCCAGCTTGGCCTGGAGTTCGGCGGTTAGTGCCGCCACCTTCGCCTGGTGCCCGGTCTCCAGCGTCTCCAGCCTGGCGCCCAGCTCGGCCCGGTCGGCGTCGGCCCGACTCCGCTCAGCAGTCAGCCTCTCCTGGCGGCCAGAGAGAGGGATCAGGCCTGGTGTCGCCGGGCTGGGGCCGTCTGACGCTGTGTGCTTGTGAACGCCCGTTCGACTGGGTGGTTGCGTGAGGCGGGGGGAGGGAAGGGGGGGGGGTACGCAGTCCGGACATGAACACGCACAGGGCAAGGGTCATCTAGCGCCGGAAGTCGCACAATTGCACCAAATTGATACAAAAGGGAACATGGCATGGCTGATGCAAACCACTGCTGGACGTACCTGTGTCTGGCGGAGGTCGTCTTCGACTCCACGGCACTGGTCCAGTAGCTGGCGAGCTTCCTCCTGCAGCTCATCATGCTTGCCTCGCAGCAGCTGATGCTCATTCCGTAGCTGAGTGTGCTCGTTCTGCAAGCGCTGGCGCTCATCTTGCAGCTGCCGGTGCTCCTCCTGCAGCTGCTTGTTGCCGTCAGTCAGCAGCTGGTGCTCCTCCTGCAGCTGGTGCAGCTCCACCACCCGCTCGTCCAGCTCGAACTGCAGCTGGGACTGGCGCTCGGAGGCGGTGCGCTCCAGCTCGTCCAGCCGACAGCTGGCTTCAGACAGCTGGAGATGCAGCTGCGCAGCTGCCTCCCGACCGGCGGCCAGCTCAGCCGTCAGGGAGTCCCTCTCTGAGGTCAGGGAGTCCCTCTCCGCCGTCAGGGAGTCCCTCTCCGCGGTCAGAGAGTCTCTCTCTGCCGTCAGCTCCTCTGTGCGTTGTACCGCCTCCCGACGTTTGGCGCGCACTTTCTCCAGGCAGAGCGCCTGCTCCTGCAGCTCGGCCTGGCGGCTGACCAGCGTCTCCTGCAGGTCGCAGATCTCTCGGCGCGCCTCGCGCCGGCCGCCGACATTCTCCGCCGCCGCTGCCGCCAGCCGCGCCGTCTCGCGCTCGGCGCGCTCTTCCAGCGCCGCCAGCAGCGCGCGCGCCTCGTCGCGCTCCCTTCCGGTACACGCCAGCCGCACTGCCTGCTCGTCAAGCGCGCGCTGCGCGCCGGCCGCCTCGGCGCGCGCCTCGTCCAGCTCGGCGGCGAGTCGGTCGGCGCGCTCCTCAGCGGCGGCGCGGCGCGTCGCCAGATCGTCGCCGCCTGCGCGCGCCTCCGCCAGCTGGGCGCCGGCGTCGGCGGCGGCGCGCTCGGCGGCTGCCTGCGCGCGCTGCGCCACCGCCACCGCCTCGGTGGCGGCGCGCAGCCGCGTCGCCACGACGGCCGCCTCGCGGTCGGCCTCCTCGGCGTCTTGCAGCGTGCGGCGCAGCCGTTCCGCCTCGCGCTCGGCGCGGTGCAGCGCCTCGCGCAGCGGCTCCAGCGGCTGCAGCTGGCCGCGCAGCTCCACCAGCTGCGCTTCGCGCTCGGCCAGTCGCGCAGGCCGCGGCCGCCGTCTCGCCGCGCAGCTGCTCGTTGGCCGCCAGGCAGGAGGTGTTGAACTCGCGCAGGCCGGCCGCCACGTCGCGCTCGTTGGCCGCCTCGGCGCGCGCGAACGCCAGCCGGTCGCGCACGGCCACCAGCCGCTCGCGCAGCAGCGCGGCCGACTCGTCGACGGCTGGCTCCTCCGCCGCCAGCTGCTGCTGCCGCTCGTGCAGCTGCTGCAGCTGCTGCTCCGCGGCAGACAGCTGCGACTGGAAGCGGGCCGCCTCGGCGGATGCTACCGCCAGCTGACGCTCAAGCTCGTCACGAGCCGCCTGCACCTCATCTCTCCCGGCGGTGACGTCACACAACTTGGCAATGACGCAGTCCTTTTCGGCGGTAACGTCAGCTAGCTTCGTCGCCACGTCGTCCCTCTCGGCGACGACGGCGCCCAACTTGGTCGTGACGTCATCGTTTTCGGCGGTGACGTCAGCCAGTCGAGCGTTCAGGACTTGCAGTGAAGCGCTCGCTTCGCACAGCTTCGCTGCGACGTCATCTCTCTCGGCGCTGACGGCCGTGACTTTGGCCAGCGAGTCGCTGCTCTCGGCGGTAGCAGCACTTAATTTCATCGCGAGGTCATCCTTCTCGGCCGTCGTGCCACAAAGCTGGGCGTTAACGGCCTCCATCGCGGCGGTCAGGTCGGTCAACTTCCCGATGACGTCATCTTTTTCGGTGGTGACGTCTGTCAGCTGCGCCCTGACGCCATCCAAGGCGGCGTTAACGGCGGCCATTTCCGCCATAACGCGGTCTCTCTCGGCGGTGAGGTCATCCACAGAGGCCAGGGCCTGGTCCTTCTCGGAGGTGACGTCCTGCAGCCGACCTGTGACGTCATCGTTCTGGGCGGTGACGTCAGCGAGCTGTGACGTAAGGGTGTGCACGCGCCGGGCCGTCTCATCCGCCCGTTCCTGCATGTCTTCCAGCAGGTTCTCCAGCCGGCGCACCTCCGCGGGACCATCCTCGGCCGCCTGGCCGAAGCCAGAGCCGTCCAGTCCGGGCCCGAAGCCGCGGCCGCTGGGCGCCGACGCCGGTTCGGACGCCGCTGCCAGCGTCTCGTCACCGAACCGTACCGTCACCTCCTCGGGCGGCAGTGTTACCTCCGCCTGGCCGGCACACGCTCCTGCCAGCGTCTCGTCACCGAACCGTACCGTCACCTCCTCGGGCGGCAGTGTTACCTCCGCCTGGCCGGCGCACGCTCCTGCCAGCGTCTCGTCACCGAACCGTACCGTCACCTCCTCGGGCGGCAGTGTTACCTCCGCCTGGCCGGCGCACGCCCCTGACATCGTCTCGTCACCGAACCGTACCGTCACCTCTTCGGGCGTCCCCTCAGCCGCCTCCTCCAGCGCGCAGAGGCTCACCTCGGCGGCGGCCGGCGCGGACAGCTCGTCAGCGCTGAACACCCGCGTGCGTTCAGCCATCGTTACGTCCAGGTCGGCGGCCGACACGACGCACGTGGTGTCGGCGGCGGCGGAGGGGGACGGGCTGCGCAGCGCCAGCGCCAGCTCCAGCAGGCCGGCGCTGGCAGGGCGCCCGGCCAGCTCGGCCAGCAGCACTCGCGCCCGGCGCAGCTCTTCCGGCGTGTCGCGCAGCTCAGCTCTCGCAGCGCAGCTCCCTGCGGGGGCTGCCAGGGCGAGGCCGTCCTGCTGCTCTGGCACGGCATGGTCTTCTGACATGGCCTGGTCTTCTGACACGGCCTGGTCTTCTGACACGACCTGGTCACCAGATACGGCCTGGTCTTCTGACACAACCTGGTCACCAGACACGGCCTGGTCGTCTGACACAACCTGGTCACCAGATACGGCCTGGCCTTCTGACATAGTCCGTTGCTCGGTCGTGGCACGGCCATCCGGGGCCGCCAGCTTCGCCGGCGGGGGCAGACCGCCGTCAGCGTCCTCCTGCCGGACCGGCGACGCTTCCCCAATTGTAGCCTCGTCGCCCTCCTCCGGCGCCTCGGCCCGCGTCGCCGCCACCCCCTCCTCCCGCAGCCGCTGTAGCTGTCTGTCGCGCTCCGCCAGCTGCTGCTCCAGCTGGGCGGCGCGCCGCTCGGCGCCCTCGCCGGCGGCCAGCTGCCGCTGCAGCTGCCGCAGCTCCTGGTACACGGTGGCGAGGTCCGCAGCTAGCTGGCTGCGGTCCAGCGGCGCCGTCACCGAGCCGTCCGCCAGCACGGACACGTCAGCCAGTGTCGATCTCTCGACCAGCACCGACCGCTCAGCCAGAGTCGATCTCTCGACCAGTACCGACCGCTCAGCCAGCGACGACCGGTCGGCCACTGTGGAGCGCCCGGCCGGCGTCGAGGGCTCCAGAAGCATGGACCGCTCCCCCAAGGTCGACCGGTCGGTCGCGGCCGTCTGGTCGGCGAGAGCGGCCGCCTCGGCCAGCGACTGGTCCAGCTCCATATCGTCGCCGTCGTCGCCGGCGAGGCGGGCGGCGTCGGCGGCCGCCGAGAGCCGGGCGGCCGAGCGGCGGCGCGCCTGCTGCAGCTCGTCGAACAGCGACGGCGCGGCCGCCGAGAGCGAGGCGGCCGAGCGGCGGCGCGCCTGCTGCAGCTCGTCGAACAGCGACGGCGCGGCCGGCGCCGGCGGCGGCCGCAGCAGCGACAGCGACAGGCCCGACACCGTCACGTCCGCCGACTCGTCCAGCAGCGAGGCGTCGCCGAACCACGGCCGGCCGGCCGGCGGCGGCATCAGGTCCGGGGACGCCGGCGCCGGCGCCGGACGGCGCGGGTCCTCCGTCAGCGTCCGCCGTCGCGCCGCCCCCGCCGCCTCCGCCCGGGACCTACGCCCGACGTCATCGGCGTCTGCTCCTGGTGCGGCCGGCGACGTCCGAGTGTCGAGCGCGGCAGCCTCGTCGGTCGCCTGTGGCGCTTGTTTCTCTGCCACCGTCGTAGCACCCAGTCCCCCAGCCCCTTCCATCTCCCGCGCCGACAGCCTCTCCTCCAGCGCCAGCTTCTCCACCCTGGCCGCCTCCAGCTGCTGCCGCAGCGTCTCCAGCTCCACCTGGTGCGCCTCTTTCAGCGCGTCTACCGTCTGCAGCGAGCTGTCGCCCGCCGCCGCCGCCGACACATCGCACGGCGCCGTGACGTCAGGCGATGATGTGACGTCGCAGGTCTTCTTACCGGACGATGCAGAGGACACCAGGAGCTGATTCTCTTGCTTAGAAGCTGCTAGCTCCTCCTCCAGTCGTTGTACAGTCTCTGACATGTCAGCAACGGAGGCGGCCGCTAGACGCTGGTTCTCTTCTTTGGCTGCCTTTAGCTCCTTCTCCAGCTGGTGTACAGTCTCCGACGTATCAGGAATGCTTGCATCCGCAAGGCGCTGGTTCTTTTCTTTGACCGCCTTTAGCTCTTCCTCCAGCCGCTGCACAGTCTCAGACATATCAGGAATGGCTGGGACAGCCAAGTGCTGGTTCTCTTCTCTGGCTGTCTTTAGCTCGTGCTCCAGCCGCTGTACAATCTCTGACATATCAGGGGTGGCCGAGACAGCCAAGCGCTGGATCTCTTCTTTGGCTGCCTTAAGCTCGTGCTCCAGCTGCTGTACAGTCTCTGGCACATCAGGAATGCTTGTGACAGCCAGGTGCTGGTTCGCTTCTTGGGCTGCCTTTAGCTTCTCCTCCAGCTGCTGTACATATGCCATCTCAGGGATGGCTGCAACATCCAGGCGCTGGTTCTCTTCTTTGGCTGCCTTTAGCTCCTCCTCCAGCCGCTGCACAGTCTCTGACATATCAGGGGTGGCTAAGACAGCCAGGCGCTGGATCTCTTCTTGGGCTGCCTTCAGCTCCTCCTCCAGCCTCTGCACAGTCTCTGCCATAACAGGAATGGCTGAGACAGCCAAGCGCTGGTTCTCTTCTTTAGATGCCTTCAGCTCCTCCAGTCGCTGTATAGCCTCTGGCATATCAGGGGTGACTGAAACAGCCAGGCGCTGGTTCTCTTCCTTGGCTGCCTTCAGCTCCTCCTCCAGCCGCTGTACAGCCTCTGACATATCAGGGGTGGCTGAGACAGCCAGGCGCTGGTTCTCTTCTTTGGCTGCCTTCAGCTCCTCCTCCAGCCACTGCACAGTCTCTGACATATCAGGAATGGCTGGGACAGCCAAGCGCTGGTTCTCTTCTTTGGCTGCCTTCAGCTCCTCCTCCAGCCGCTGTACAGCCTCTGACATATCAGGGGTGACGGAGACAGCCAGGCGCTGGTTCTCTTCCTTGGCTGCCTTCAGCTCCTCCTCCAGCCGATGCACAGTCTCTGACATATCAGGAATGCCTGGGACAGCCAAGTGCTGGTTCTCTTCTTTGGCTGCCTTCAGCTCCTCCTCCAGCTGCTGCACAGTCTCTGACATATCAGAAATGGCTGGGACAGCCAAGCGCTGGTTCTCTTCTTTGGCTGCCTTCAGCTCCTCCTCCAGCCGCTGTACAGCCTCTGACATATCAGGGGTGACGGAGACAGCCAGGCGCTGGTTCTCTTCTTTGGCTGCCTTCAGCTCCTCCTCCAGCCGCTGTACAGCCTCTGACATATCAGGGATGACGGAGACAGCCAGGCGCTGGTTCTCGTCTTTGGCTGCCTTCAGCTCCTCCTCCAGCCGCTGTACAGCCTCTGACATATCAGGGGTGGCTGAGACAGCCAGGCGCTGGTTCTCTTCTTGGGCTGCCTTTAGCCCCTCCTCCGGCTGCTGTACAGCCTCTGACATATCAGGGGTGGCTGAGATAGCCAAGCGCTGGTTCCCTTCTTTGGCTGTCTTTAGCTCCTCCTCCAACCGCTGTACAACCTCTGACATGTCAGTACTGGTTGTAACAGTCATGTGCTGGTTCTCTTGCTTGGCTGCCTTTAGCTCCTCATCCAGCCGCTGTACGGTCTCCAGCAGACGCGCGTGCGTGTCGTCCACCAGCCGCGGCTCGGCTCCGTCCGCTCGCAGCGCGTCATCCTCCTCTTGCAGCAGCAGCACCTGCCGCCGCAGCCGCTCCAGCTCCGGCGGCTGCGCGGCCGCGGGTCGGTCTGGCGACACACGGACCACCGCGGTCACGGGTCATCTTCCGAACTAATAGGGCACAGGACGCCCGAGAGATGGCACCACACACGGAAAAACGTCAGGAGAAACATATGCTATTGGCAGATGCAGACAAGCTGACATCGGAAACGGGGGACAGGCGATACCAAACACACTGAATGACACTCCCATTTTAGGCCGTCTGCGACGAACCGCCATACTTTCGCCGTCCGACGACAAACTGCGCCCAGTCCATAGTCCCACCCACCTGATACGTTGTCCCGCCCCTCCGCTCCTCTCGTCTGACCTGCTGTCCTGTCCCGCCCCTCCGCTCCTCTCGTCTGACCTGCTGTCCTGCCCCGCCCCTCTGCTTCTCTCGTCTGACCTGTCCTGTCCTGTCCTGTCCCTCCGTTTCTCCCGTCTGACCTGCTGTCTTGTCCCGTCCCTCCGCTCATCCCGTCTGACCTGATGTCCTATCCTGTCCCTCCGCTCCTCCCGTCTGACCTGCTGTCCTGTCCCGTCCCTCCCCTCCTCCCGTCTGACCTGCTGTCCTGTCATCCTCCTCCTCCTCGGTGATGTCGCCCAGCGACACCGGCCGCCCAGCCTCCTCCTCGAGCGACGGCATCGCAGGGTGCAGGTCCGCCCGCCGCCGCTTCCGCTGGCTCACCCCCTGCGGCGTCATAATATCCGGCATGACCTCCGCCACCGTCTTCAACAGCATCTCACTCGTCGTCAGCACCCCGGCCACCATGATGATCCCATCAACGCCACCGTTGGTGTTTCGTCAATGGGAAGGCTCAGCTGGCCGCATCATGCCGCGGTCGAGGTCCTTACCGAGGGCGTGAGCGGGCGCAATGTCCGACGCTGGAACACGGTCTCTACCACGACTGCTGCTCCCACCGAAAAACGTAACGGCCCGTGGGAAACGCGGACCTGGTCCGCAACGCGGCAGACAGAACCAGTACCGTGGTGGCGGCTCCCCAAGAACGACTGGCGTATGACGAACTGTGGCAGTATCGGCGCACGGGTCGGCCGCCAACACTCTCTACCAGGCGCCGCCGTGTACCGGAGCCCCGACGCGACACCACCTCTCACCACACGACCGCGCCATATGGCCGACCAAGCGCCCACACAGTGACACGTCCGTCTGTCCCACGACGCGTCACGCGGCCGGATTGCTGTCCCTCTCGACAGAGACATCGCCACGCCTTACGCAGTGAACCGGTCTGTGCCTCGCCTGCCAATCCCCGCCCGCCGCCACGGCGGGGTACCGGGCGCCGGCAGCGTGTCGTCTCCTACCTGTCGCTCAGGCGGCGGCGGCGGCGGCCGTGGCGGGCTGGTCTGCGTGCCGGCGTCGGCCGCCAGCGGCCGCGGCGCCGCGTCCATGCTCGTGGCGCGTCGCTTGCGGCAGGTGACGCGGCTGGCCGGCGGCGGCGGCGCCTCGGCCGCCTCCTGCCGGCGATGGGCGGAGTCACGACGGCGGCAGGCGTGTGGCCGCTGATGGAAGAGGTCATCCGAGGAGGTCGGAATGTGACGGTCGTGTTCTGCACCTCTTTACCAATCAACCAAAACCATACCAATTATTACCAATCAACCTTCACCACTAATCTCTGAAATACACCGCCAGACAAAAATTACATTTCCGATTCATTTCTGTTCGTTTTCACTTCCGGTTCATTTATCACCATCCGATTCATCATCCACGTCCCGCATGCCTCACCGCGAACGGCTGATCATCGTCGGGCAGCTTCGGCTGCTCCTCGACAGGTGGCAGCAGCGGCGGCAGCTGGAACGGCGCCAGACTCAGCCGGCCGCGCTGCCGGCCGCACCACGTCATCCGCCGCTTGCTCTTCTGCGCCCTGGCGGAGGCACACGCGGCCGCGGCCGGTCAGAGCGCCGCCCGCCGGGGGGAGGGGGAGGGGGAAGGAGCGGGGAGGGCGCCGTGCGCGCTCCGTGAGTGATCGCATCGGCGCAGGGTGACGCGCTCCTTACGCACACTGCAGCCGGCGGTTCATGGGACGCCCAGGGGCAGCAGCTATCTGGACTCGCACACCCAGGGCGTGCGAACACCCAGGTCGGGCGCTGTCTCGCCATCCTGACCTTCATCGCACGTGAGAACGGGCAGTACAGACGAGAACCACAGTCTATGCATGGTGCACCAGCACTAGGAGCTCGACCAGTTCATCCGACTCTGGGAAGCCCTATGTGTGTGTGCGAGAAGGGGGAGAGGCAGGCAGGAGGCACAGCGGCCGCCCTCTCGGCGACGGCCGACGCTCCTTCACACGAGCCGACGGCGCCAGCGCCAGCGTACAAAACAGGCACCTTCGTGCTCACATCCAGCTGGGGCAGCACGCCCACCGCTTGATCGTTAACTTCGGCCGCGCTCCGAGGGACTCCCATCCGAAGGAGTTTATTATATCGAGGGAGTTTTCTTCTATTGGGGCTTTACGTCCGACCAACTGCCAGGGCCATTTAGACACGGATGCCTTTATTAGGCGTTATATGGGATGCGGTGGTGGCGTGGCCGGGTTCGAACCCCAGACCGACAGGTCCGCAGCCGCGCGTCCTAACCACTGTACCACCACCGCCACATGTCCTCGGAGGGATGATGCCTATAGAGCAGAGACTAGTACGTCGCAATGCAGCGCTACAGAGAAATGGCAGAGACGGCCCACAGTCACTTGCGGTCGACACCAGACAAAGACACGCAGTTTTTCACAGTCGTAGTCTCGAGCAGCCATCCCCGCGACTGGACTACAGCGTTTGACCCCTCCCCTCCCCCCCAGACTCACTTGGCCGGCAGCTGCTGCTTGGGCGCCGAGCTCACCACCAGCTGCTCGACCAGCTGGCGCAGCCGGTCCTGCAGCTGGGTGTTACGCTTGCTCTGCTCGGCCAGCGCCTGCTGCATCTCCTCCACCTCGGTGGCGCGGTTGGTCTGCTTCTCGCGCTGCAGCTCCGCGCGCAGCCCGTGGATCTCGCGCTTCAGCCGCTTCAGGTGCGCCGAGTCGGACACCACCTGGCGGCGGACGGCGGCGTCACACCACTGCCAGCCGGGCAGCGGTCACTGCCTGCGGCGCGACGGCCCCAGCGGGACAGATGACACGCGGAGCCGATGACACCTGCACGCGTCATAACTAACGTCTTTCCACGAACTACCACACAGGCCAACCCTGTTTAGACTAAATGACGTCCTCCCTGAGAGTTAACTCAAGAGTTAACGAAGAGTTAACCAAGGGTTAAAGAGTTAAGAGTTAACATTTGAGCACGTCCCAGCCCCTGCGTTGGGGAAATCTGGGCCGCGCCATTCTGTCCTAGTCCGACCAGCGACCTCCCCCTCCCCCTCACTTCCGCCCACCGCTCGGCGCGGCACCTACCTCGTTGATGTGCGGCTTGTTCTTGATGGTCTTGGCGCGGCTGGCGAACCGTAGCGTGGAGTGGGTCTCCTCCACAGCCGCCGGCGTCACCGTGCAGATGATGGCCGTCTGGCAGGTCAGAGGTCACGGGTCAGATCAGAGGTCACGGGTCAGACCAGAGGTCACGGGTCAGATCAGAGGTCACGGGTCAAATCAGAGGTCACGGGTCAGATCAGGGGTCACGGGTCAGATCAGGGGTCACGAGTCAGATCAGAGAAGTCACGGGTCAGTCCTAAGATCACAGACCAGGTCAGAGGTCACCAGCCGGTAGCGGCGCGTCACACGCAGCCGGGGGGGGGGGAGGGGAAGCAGAGGGCGGCGGCGCAGGAGACAGTGTGGAAAAAGGGCCGAAGGCGGGCGGTATAGAACTAAAAATGGGGCATGTCAACACTGGGAGAGACGTTAGGCACACAGGGTGGGGATGGAGTGGTACAGTTAGGGCAGAAAAAAGGGAAGTAGAGAGGACGGAACATAAATGGCGGCAGGAGAGGCACCTGATGAGGACATCAGAGGAAGAGCACGTAAGACGGTACACACAAAGGCCGTGAAGCAGTACGCAACAGCGCACCCTTTGACACATGACGCACAAACGCACGCACACACACGCGCGCATATAAAAAGACGCACACGGAAGACTCAGTGGGCCAGGCGGCGCACACTGGGTGAACTCCACGTAACAAATAAACGGGACAATGGACGTCATCACTGCCCCCCCCCCCCCCCCCCCCCGCCCCCACCGCCAGTGCATCCGGCAGACACCGGGACGAACAGCAACAGTAGGTCGCACGCCAGCACACGCAGACGACCCGACCAACGAGTGCAGCCCCAGCCAGCGACACAGCCAGGAACAGGACCTGTCAGCAGTGGATCGCAGGTGCACCTCCGCTCACGCCGCTCAGCCGCCAGTGGCGATCTGTAGCTTCTGAAGTACGGTCTCCCCCATCCGACCCTTAACACTCCCTTCCCTTCCCACCACCTCCCTTCCTAGTGACATATTGTAACACCCCAAGCGTCGCTAGAAATCCTTAGCGCCGACAGACAGATGCCTGTTTCCGGACGTCTGCCGTCTGAGGTATCCACGAATTTGCAGGGCTCAGCGCTGCATCCATTCCTCTCCTTCCCACGCCCCGCCGTAGTCATCACAGACCCCCCTCCCCTCCCTCCCTTCCCCACGCCGTCGTCGTCTTTGGGGCCTTAAGACGCACGTACCCTGCTTCTGCCGCTGTAGGGCGTCGGACACCTCTCATCCTGGCAGGAAGGGCGGCCACTGCGGAGAAAAGGATCCTGTCCACCTGATCCCCCTCCCCTCCGCCCCACGCCACCCGCCTCTCTCTGCATGCCGAGGCCAACACCGCACCTTGGCGTTGCCCCCGAGCGACGTCTGCAGGATGCGGGTGAGCTTGCTGTTGCGGTAGTTGATGAAGGGCGCGCCCTCGCTCAGCTTACTGATGACGTTGCCGAGCTCGAACAGCGACGAGTTGATGGAGCAGCCCTCCCGGAACCTGGCGGCGCCGTCGGCGGCCCGCGCAAGGGGCGCGCGTCAGAACGTGAAGTGGGGACTCGGGCCGCCCAGGAGCCCGGGTCAGTACGGTGTATTGCACAGAACACCAGGCGGCTCAAGAGCACGGCTCCGTGTCAGCAATGCGGGGTAACGAGGTGAGTCCACGTAAAAGTGCATTCCGCCCTTTTCCACTCTTGCGCGTCGGTCTAGGTGTGATGGGTGCGGGTTCGGTTTGGTTTGATCAGTCAGATTTCAATGACAAAATAAGCACGGAAAATAAAGCAGGGCAAAAATAAGCACGAAAAATCAATCTCGTCTCAACCCGCCCGTAAGACTGCAAGCACGAATACTATCCAGCCGCCGAAACAGATCGCAGTGAACACTGCCCACAGCCCCACATCCGCCTGCTTCTCAAGATCTGGGTGATATCTGGTGACCATATCTAACCTACGTTGACTTGTGTGACATTCCCAAACCCTTGGTGATCTTTTGTGGCCTTCAGCGCCTCGCAATGCCCAGCGTGACCTTTAGTGGCCATCGGTGACCTCCAATCATCTGGGTGTTGTGACATGTTACAGTTCAGTGATAGTGATATGGAATCACCGGTGGCCTCCAGCGACCAGGCTGACGTCCATTGATCCGGGTGACTTTCCAGTGACCCAATGACCCTCCAGCGACCCAAATGACTTTCCAGTGACCCGAATGACCTTAGTGACCTGGGTGACCTCTAGTGAACCGGATTATCTCCAGTGACCGGGATGACCTCCGGTGACCCGGATGACCTCCTGTGATCCGGGTGACCTCCAGTGACTCGACGTCTCACCTCTCGCCAGTGGCGCCTGTCTGCCGGGCGCGCTCCGAGCCGGCCAGGTCCACCAGGTTCAGGTGCGAGACAACCACAGCGCCCTCCTCACCCTCCTCATCCCTGGTGTACACACAGATGGCAGTGGCGTCAGGGCAGGCTGTCCCGCCGCCGGACACCAGCGGTCGAGCACGTGCGCCCCCGGGCAGGGTCAGCATACGCTGGCAGGGGGACGCGAGGGGGGAGAATACCGCCAACGACGACCGCCAAAAGCACGTGGCATCATATCGTAGCAGGAAATGTGAACAAAAGACGGCCAGTGTTAAAAGGCAAGCCAGCCGATCGCCAGCCTCCGGGGGCTGACCGGCGGCGGAGTCCGACTGTCGGAGTTTGAGCCTGTGCTCCCACTTGGGAGCCCGGCGCGCTACACCTCGGCCATTACTACGGTATCTCGACGATGTCCCCTCCCCGCAGCAGCCCAGATCTCCAAGACGACGCCCCACCTGGCTCTAGTCTCGACGACGGCCACCCACCTGACTCTGGACTCGATGATGATGCGGAAGATGGTGTGGCTGCGCGAGCTGCGGTCGTTCATGTTGGTGACGCCGAAATGGCGCGCCGTCTCGCCGCGCCCCATCAGTCCCAGCAGCATCTCTGGCGTGTTGACGCACAGCTCCCGCAGCTCCGACACGTACACCTGACGCACGGGGGAGGGGGAGGGGGGGGGGGGCGTTCACGGCCAGCGGCAGCAGTGACGAGTCTTACACCTGATGCAGGGGGGAGGGGGGGGGGGGGGGGCACGGCGAGTGGCGGCGCGGCGGTAGCGACGAGTCGGTGTGAGGTGTGGAAGTGGAGAGGAGGTGATGCTTTGTTTGGCCGCGCCCCGGCACGCATGGGAGATCATTCGAATGAACGAGTTTTCACGCGGTATTGCGGCTACTCAACTCCAGACTTCCATGTGCAACTGGACTGTTTGCTGGCCGGCCTCTGGTTTGCATTGGAAAAGCTGAAGACCAAGTCATGCATTTTACATGACCTGGCAAAACGTGCAGCAAAGACGTGGGAAAAGCTTTTTGCGACGCTGTCACTTTCTATCCCTCGTCATGATTGGTCAAACGACGCACTCGACGCAGGAGACGTCGGTATCTTCAGCGTCCATCTCGCTCCCCACCCCCGCGGCACCAGAGCAGCCCACCACGCCCAACCGGATCCGGTTCCACCGGAAGGCATCCCGTCCCTGCGGACCTCTCCGTCCCTGTCACCTGTCGTTGCGGACCCCCTCGTACCCGTCACCTGTCCCTGCGGACATCCCCGTCCCCGTCACCTGTCCCTGTGGACCTCCCCGTCCCCGTCACCTGTCCCTGTGGACCTCCCCGTCCCCGTCACATGTCCCTGCGGACCTCCCTGTCCCCGTCACCTGCCCTGCGGACCTCCCCGTTCCTGTTACCTGTCCCTGCGGATCCTCGTGGATGCGCAGCCCCTTTGGTGTTCCAGCACCCTCCGCCAGGAGATCGGCTACCACCTGTCGGCGAGACGCAAAACAAAGCTACAAGAGGTGCCCTGTCCACCAGGTGGCGGAACAGATTCCACAGACGGCCACGACCACAGGTCGCGCGGCCCAAATAACGAGCCGAGGCTTCAAACCACATGCCCGGGGCTTCCCAAGACGAGCAGAACTTAACGACGAGGAACACGTACCGCTCTTTACTCAAAATTCCGCCATATCTCAGGCTCAGCTTCAGCACCCTGCACCAACCACAGTGATGACGCCGCTGACTTCAGCAGCGCCATGGTCAGCCGCTCCCCAGCCGTGGTGCGGCAGCTGGGCGGCCACGCACCTCCTTGTAGATCTCCATGTAGCTGACGCGGATGAGGTACTCGCGGTCGGGCGTCTGCTCGACGCAGTCGAACATCTGGTGCACCACGCGCGGGATGGTGCCCTGGTCTTGCTCGTGGCCCAGCATGGTGTGTGTCTTGCCTGGCGGGGAGGGCACGGTGGTCAGATGGAGCAGGGGTGTGCGGGGTGAGGGCGTGGAGGTGGCAGGGCGGGCAGACGCCGGCGCAGAGGAGCGAACGGAGCAACACGGGGGCAGCGCAGGGGTCCGGCGGGGGCACGGGGAGGGCCAGAAGCGAAGGTCTGACAACCATCAATCACAGGTGGAGGCCAGTGTGACCAATCACAGGAGAGGACCAATCTGTCCAATCACAGGCACAGACCAATCTGATTAACCACAGGCGAAGCGCGACATGCTCACCAGAGGAGGTCTGCCCATAGGCAAATATGGTGGTGTTGAAGCCGGCCATGGCCGAGTAGACCATCTCCTCCACGGTACCTGTGGCAGTGGGGAGTCACTAATGGTGAACGATCGCCCATCACGGTAACATGTCACGTGGCCTCTGGACATCACGTGATCAAGACATTGTGGCAATTGGCAAGCAATTGTGGCAAGCAATTAGTCAAGACATTGTGAATAAGCCATTGTCGAAATTGGGATTTCAAAACAGTGGATGGGCAAGTTTTTAAATGAGGTGCTGGTCTCATGTGGTATTATGTTGTTCAGTTGTATAAGCCCATACATTTATTTTAATACAAAGTAAACAATTTCAAGCACATCCTTCCCCACAGCCATCAATCTTCAGTTGCATGCAACACATATTGCTGTTAACAGCATTGAGCACAGTTGGTAATGCTGATGACACAGCTTTTAGCCAGACAGTAGGAAACTTACATGGCCCCTTTAATAATGTGTAGCAGCCACATGCAAACATGACATAGATAGTAAGGCATATAAAATATGAAGCTGTCACAATGTTCCCAATAAATAGGTACCATCACATACATTTCATCTGACTGAATGTTTAATTCCAAGCAGAACAGTACTTTGGTTAAAATATGATCCCTCAAGACCAAAAAACATGCCCAAACTCATTACAGTACTACTGCTGGCACACTGAGGACAACCAGTCTTCCCTGGAGAATGCTGATGATTTACCTGTGTATACATCAGCATTGGTGCAGCCTTCATCATAAACTTTATCAAAGATGTATGGCTGACAAAGCACACTTCCTGTTGCAGGATCTATCTGCACTAGAGACTTCTCTTCATGTGTCTTCCAATGCTTTGTGAGATCATCTGATATTTCACGTTTGATAAGCCCTCGCACACGGACAGACACACTAATGTTGCAATCTGCCATCTTGCGGTGGAGGCGGAACCTCTGGAGATGGGGGGAAACCATGAGTTTTGGTATATGTTTCATATATCATCATAGGAATATCAAATGTTGCCCAGAGTTGTGGAGCAGTTGCTCCCTCAACCAAACAAGGCAGTGGATTGAAGATCAGCGGGCGGAGGGCGGCAGTGAGTGGTAACGAATATGACCAAAGCCATATACAAGACCTCCTCAATAAAAGCTCTAGGGCTACATGTATGACATCTTGGTGGGGAGGGGAAAAACACCGCAAAGCGATCTTGATGCAGTTGCTGCCGTATGCTCAGCACACAAACTGAAGACATCTACGGCGAACGGAGACTGATACAAAATGATTGACGCTGATGTAACTTCAGTGCATGCATTGGTTCAATCCATACAAAAATCTGAATTACACCCGAAATTCCCACCCACAGTCATAAGCGTACTTACCACCGCCGATCCACTATCACGAACGAACTTGTGATTTCAAACTTGGAGTCAATGGTGCTACCAAATTTTTCGCTACCATACAAGGGAAATACTTCACTCTTCCTTCATGTTCCCTGTTTTTTTCCGCTGGCGGGAAAGGGGGAGCAGCGGACCAGGAACAGGCAGCAGCGTGGTAGAAGATGAAATGCCGCTTAACAGTCAGGTTCCTTTTCTCTACATTACTGATTTCCATCCCACCTTGATAGTTAGCACTTGGTGCGCAACGCATAATCGCACCATATCTCACAACTTTTACGAACCTTTAGTGTTTTATTGACCTCAATCAGCCGCAGGCATCTTGTTGGGGTTTCCAGCCACATTACTCTATAAAAATCTTAACTTTTCAATTAGCACTTTCTTTCTGGTATGGTGCAATGCGGGAAGCCCGCAGCGTTGGCGGGACTTGATCTGCATATTGGTTAGAAATCAGCAAACAGGAATCAACAGAAATCTCCGAATTCGAAAATATAAAGAGGCCAAGTAGCATTTTAGTCATAACATGCCAGTCCCACATGCCCGTCTCCGCTGACGTGGATGCTGAAAATAAATGGTACCAACCACTTACGAAACAATGCCATTCAGGCCATAAACGTGTCTAGCCTCCAAGGCCATGCAGCACCTTACACCAAAGCTAATGTAATGCAATAGGCGATGCAATAGCAAAGATAATATGAAATGGCAGCTACACCCGCCAGCACAAAACATTAAACGACACGCCAGAAGCGCTAGAATTGGGAACAGCATAAGCGCATGGAATGCCTGCTCTTTTTACGTCAACCAACCGGTTATGTTTCTTGCACAGCATCGGTTCCGGCAGGTGCTCAAGCTACCACAGGCGGTCTGGGATAGTTTGCAGCAGCAAACCGCCTGGGCGACGCAACGCTCGAAGGTATTAAGCTAAGCGGTAAAAGTAAGCCATCTTTCGGATGCAGCTTCCGCCCGTGCCGCTGATACGCACTCCCAAACACCGCGGCCATGGTTCACCCCAAAGTGTATAAAAAGAAAGAAAAATATGCAGAATCACATTTGTTTTCGTGGCATATTTGCGCGCAACAAACCCTTCCAGCGATCACTCAACATTGAGGGGACCCGTACGAAATCCGTGGCACACCGAAGCGCATTGGTCAAAGGCTAAAAGGCTGTAAGGCACTTCAGTCCTCATCCGTGCATCTCTGAGCTTCCTTCACACAGAGAGGAATCTCCCACCGAAAAATGGCGTTCGCTTGACTAGAAACCACAAAAAAACACGCGGACGTGAGCAGGACGCAAACAGGCGAGATTCTGGATCCCGCTGCAGTGTTGCAAACATATTCTGCATATTGTCAACATGTAAAACGCCTGGCCAACCCAACACAGATAACATGACGAACTTTTCACACACACACAGCGCCAGTTTCAAACGGACTATCTGACCAGCGCAGCACCGGTAACACATGGGAAACTTAAGTTGCACGGGACCAGCAACACAAAACTCACCAATGTCCGCATAGATGTTATGCATCACATATCAGCACTGGCAACTGCAAGCCATACGCAGCGTACTGTAGCAGTCAACTGCTGTCATTACCACATAAACTGGTCACTGCTGCATCGCATCGTTTCAACACCTCAGCTGGCCTATAACTGGTCAACTAGCATCAGCTGGCATCAACAGGCATCAACTGGCATCCACTGCACTATCCCAGCAACGGACCACTGCCGAGTTCACGCACCAACTGACCGGCATCAGACACATCGCGCGCCACCCGGCCGTTGGCGGCAGCTGCCGGTGCACCTGCTGACCGCGGTCAGCAGTTGTCCCGCACGAACTCCACCACCATCTGATACACCTGGCTCTGCCGCGAGCGCGGCTTGCAGACGTCCAGGTGGTCGGCGTCGGCCAGCACGAGCCGGCCCACGCCGGCGTGCGCCGACTCCGGCTCAACGAACAGCACCTCGCGGCCGAGCAGCCGGCGCCGGCGCGTCTCGGCCACGCTCAGCACCGCCCAGCGGCGGCGCGCCGCCAGCGCCAACGAACGCCTCGCGCAGCCGGAGCAGCTGCGGCGAGTCGCGGCGCAGCGCGTCCAACTCGGCCGACGGCCGCAGCAGCGGCCGCAGCGGCGGCGCCGCGGCCGCCAGCGACGAGCCGGCGTGCGGACACGCGAAGAACAGCACGCCACGCGTGGCCGCCAGCAGCGGGTCCCCCTCCGCAGCGGCGCCGCCGGCTGCCTCCTCCTCCTCAGCCGCCGTCGCCAGCAGCTGCTTTACGAGCAGCCCGCCCATCGAGTGCGTGACCCACACGATGGGCCGATCGCCGAGACCGGCCGCGATCAGCTGGCGGCGCAGCTCGTCGGCGCGCTCGGCCAAGGCGCGGCCACGGCGCGCCGGACAGCGCGGCCGCCACTCGCTCCAGGCCGAATCGTAGTCCACCGACAGCAGGCGGGCGCGCAGCGGCAGCAGGTCTGCTGGCAGCCAGTCGCGCGGCCAGCACTGCGTGTAGCGCTCGGCGGACGAGTCACCCGGAGCGTCGGACGGCTGCGGCGCGGGAGCCTCAGCCTTGGGAGCGGGAGCCTCGGCCTTGGGCGCGCCGGGCGGGGCGGCCGCCGGCGGCGGCAGGAGCCGCTCGGACAACCGGCACGGCGCCACCGGCGCCAGGGCGGCGCGCGTATCGTCGTGCTGGCGCCACGTGCGCTCCGTCCCGCCCAGGAGGCCGTGCACAAACACCACGTCGGCGTCCGACGCGGCCTCGGCCGCCACGTTCTGCGGGTGTAGCAGCAGCACGCCGTCGGGCAGCGGCCGCAGTTGGCGCGGCGGCAGCGCCGGCGCCGCCGCCGCCAAGCCCACCCGGCGCCGCGCCGCCGCCAGCCGCGCGCGCAGCGCCGCCCAGTGACCCTCGGCAGCGGCGGTGGCGGCGGGTAGCGCGGCCGGCGGGCTCTCCAGCAGGCGCTCCGCCAGCGTGAGGTTGCGCAGCACACGCCAGGCGGGCAGGCAGACGCGCACGTCTTGCTCGCGACTCCAGGCGGCCAGCAGGCCCAGCCAGCCGGCCTGCTGGAGCTGGCGCGCCGACGGTACGAGGCCGGCCAGCCGCGCCGCTAGCCCAATCAGCTCAGCGTCGCCTGGCCTAGCCGCGTGCGCCGCCGCTAGTGCCGGCAGCAGGCCGGCGGCCAGCAGGCGGCGCCGCTGCTCAGGACGCGTCGCCGCCTGCTCCAGCAACGCCGCCGCGCACAGCCGCTCCAGCGCGGCGGCTGGCGCGCGCCGCGGCCGCCACGGCGCCGGCGACTCCGGCTCGCCACCGTCTGGTGAAACGGGCGTCGGCTCCCAGTCGGCCGGCGGCAGCTCGCTCAGCGCCTGCGCCGTGACGAACGCGGCGCACGGCTCGGACTCCGCCGTCGGCAGCACTTCGAGCAGCTGGCGCAGTCGCTGCGCCACCGGCGGCGCGTCAGGCGCGGCGCGCGCGCCGGCCGGCGGCAGGAAGAGGCGCAGGTCGCTGTCGCGCCAGCCAGCTAGCAGCAGCGACGTCTTGTGATCCAGCCGTTGCGCTAGCTGGCGGAACTCCGCGTCGTCCAAGTCGCGCAGGCACGCCAGCGCCACGGCGCCTTTGCGCCGCAGCGCGGCATCCGCCGAACTAAGGTAGCCTAGCGTCCACTCGTGAAGTCGCAGTGCGGGTGGTCGCCGCTGGATGGCGTCGTCATCGCCGGCCTCCGCCGGCGGAAATCGGCTTGGAATGAAGACAGGCGCCTCAGAGACAGCTCGTGGAGCTGGGTCAGGTGGCTGGAATGAGCGCCAGGCAGCGATGCCTGCTGCTGCTGCTGGCACAGACAGCAGAAACACCTTTGCCATGCTTTGAGCAATGGCATCTGACTAGGAGTGGTGTCACATCAGGGCTTGTATACCTGAAAATGACAAAATTGATGCATGGTTATGGTGCCAATAATTTGATCATACTGAACATTGTATGGCTTATTGCTTACTTTTATCATGTGACCATCATGTACCACACAACACTGGCATAAGTAATGGGCCACAGTGTTATAGTGTTGGGGAGCAGGTCCCTCTACTGTACTCTGCACTTAAACAGAATGCCATTTTAAGCTGTTAAGCTTAAACTGTCCATTTTTAAAAATGGTTTGAGGACTCCCAAATTGGCCAGCTTCAAGATGCACTGTGGTTAACTTTGTAACAAAATGGCTTCAATAGGTGCCTTAGGATAAACCAAGAGCTATTTATTCCATCCTCCCTGATAGCAAATTTATGGTGCTTGAATAAGGTTTGTGACCAATGGATATAAAGATGTTGATATAACAGCTAATACAAAATTTTAAATATCAGTATAAGACCACCAGCATTTGAGATGTTATATATGCCAGATCATCCAGCAAAGGTGCAGCCCTATTGACTGTTTGGGAGAAATGCAGGCAATCACAACCTTGTTTACCCTTGGTCACCCAGCCATGGCACATTGGGCTATCTCCACAGGCCTAGTAAATATTGTCTTGTTTTTCTATGTTTGGGTCTTAACATTCTGTACCACACATCAATACTCAGAGCCCAGTGACTCAGGAGCAGCACACTGCTGGAGAATTGAATAAGCAATTGTGTGGTGCAAAGTGACTGGAAATATTTGCAACATGTCACACTTACAAAGGTGGGCTGGATGCATTTTGACATTTTTACCATTTTTAGGTTGCCTGCTGTGTAAAGAAAGTGCAGGTCATGCACTAAAAATCAGTCCATATCGGCTTAATCTAGAAGGCAAACCATACAATATTGCTTTCAATGCACACACCACACATTTATAAATTCATCTACCACCATCTTGTAGCTCTATATCCTATACGTCAATCAATGGCGTTCTTCCTCATATCTGTCACTCACAGTTTCAACAACCAGGCGTATGCAATTAGCAATCCCTGTCGATTGTTCTCGATCGTCAGCACAGCGCCAGTTATGTTCCAAAGGCATTGATTGATACTAAAATACAAATCACATAAAAGAAAACACCAAGGTCA